ACAGGGCCCCCCTGTGGCGACCTGGTGGCCACAGGCGACCCCTGTCGCGTGGCGACCTCGTGGCCACAGAGCCCCTGTGTGGCGACCTCGTGGCCACAGGACCCCCCCCCTGTGGCGACCTGATGGCCACAGAGCCCCTGTGTGGCGACCTCGTGGCCACATTGCCGCCCTGTGGCGACCTCGTGGCCACGTGTGCCCTCCGTCCCGTGGCGACCTCGTGGCCACAGGGCCCCTGTGTGGCGACCTCGTGGCCGCAGGACCCCCCTGTGGCGACCTGGTGGCCACAGGTGCCCTCCGTGCCGTGGCGACCTCGTGGCCACAGAGCCCCTGTGTGGCGACCTCGTGGCCACAGGACCCCCCCCCTGTGGCGACCTGGTGGCCACGGGTGCCCTCCGTCCCGTGGCGACCTCGTGGCCACAGAGGGTCTGTGTGGCGACCTCGTGGCCACAGGACCCCCCTGTGGCGACCTGGTGGCCACGGGTGCCCTCCGTCCCGTGGCGACCTCGTGGCCACAGAGCCCCTGTGTGGCGACCTCGTGGCCACAGGACCCCCCTGTGGCGACCTGGTGGCCACATGTGCCCTCTGTCCCGTGGCGACCTCGTGGCCACAGAGCCCCTGTGTGGCGACCTCGTGGCCACATTGCCGTCCTGTGGCGACTTGGTGGCCGCCGGAGCGTCCCGTGGCGACTTGGTGGCCACGTGTGACCTCTGTCCCGTGGCCTCTGCACTGTGGCGGCCTCGAGGCCACGGGAACGCTCCGTGGCAACATCGTGGCCATATGCCTTCCACGCGGTGAGATCGTGGCCGCGTAGTTTGTTCGTGATCGTGAGGTCGTCGTGCCTGAGTGGATGCGATGTAGGCATGAGGTTGTCATCAGCGCATTTCGTCGTTCGATTGCTTCTAAGTTTGCCACCTTTCATGTTTGCATTATCAATGCGGAACGAATTCAAATCTGTGATATTTAGGCGATTCAAGCGGCGATATGATGCATTACATGCACCAGTATCCTTCATTCAATCGTCAAATTTCTCTCGTGATGCATCTACATTTTGTTCTGATGTTATGGCCCACGCTCTTGGTTTAGTTTCATTGTGCAACTCTCGAGGCCCTCGAAACCAGCGGTCATACTGCCAATCCTACTTCATGCATGGCTCGCTCCGGTGAGAAGTAGAATCGTAAAGTTCTGAAGGCATGGTCACCATGCCGCTTTGTTTCGGAATGCATATTGTCTCGAACTTGCTTCCCCTGTAGCCTTTTGGGTTCAAGCCAGGTAGTATCTCTATTCTCTGCTGCCTTGTTTCCTTCTCGTTACTTTCAGCATCGGCCAATCCATTTGCTATGGCGCTCTCCTGTGGATGCTGCGATGTCTGCGAATGCTCACTGACGATGGTAACGCTGGCCACCACAGATCCTAGTGTCACTTTGTCTCTGGAGGAAGCCTGGGGGAATTTCAGGGTCAGTTGCCAAAAAGTGAAGAACGTTCTTGGCGACGATCAGACTGCACAGACACTTGAGAAGCTCTCGGGAACCACCATCTGGATGAGTGGTTGTTGCACTGGCATCAATGCGCCCCACCACGCCAGCGCTGCCGCCTTGAACGCTGTGAACATGCTAGGGAAGCACATGCTCAGGACCAGCTTCAAAGATTGCATCGTGAAGTCGTCTTGGGAAGTCGAGAACAATAAGCAATGCCAACGTGAACTTCTAGGACATCGTGCCAGTGCCCCGCAACACCTGTTCGACAACATGCTTGACTTTCTCCCTGGCCGCTACCATCTGGAAATGAATGCGAAGGCCTCGTTCTGGGAAAAGGCGTCCGTCGTGATGCATGCGCCGCTCAAGTCGCCCGTGAAGTGTGTGACGCATCCTGGATCCTGCTCGTGCACAGTAACGAGGGCACACATCAATGTGGCAGGCACGCCGTGCATCCACGATAGCCCCATCGGCGCTCATAAGGGACTGGAGGGAAGCGAGATGGGCATTCTCCTCATATGGGCCCGTCAACGGCTCTTGTTGCAGGAGCCGCTCGTCATCCACGAGGGGTCCGACCGCCAGCAGTGGGATGTATTGAAGAAGCTCCTCGCCGACGCATATGACATTGAGTGCGTCTTCACTTGCCCCACGGAGACTGGCTGGCCAATCCAGCGTCGCCGCCGCTACGCAGTGCGCGTATGTCGGCTGAGTTATCTGTGCAACGTCCCGAGCCTGTTCACGAACAAAGCTGCTAACGAGTGTGATTGTAGCGAGAGCCCCATGAACGTCAAGGACATGATGCGCAATTTCTGCCACCGAATTCCTCTCTTCAGCCATGACGAGTTCTGGGTGGCGAACCACGCGGAGTGCCAGGACGAGCTGGAGTGGGCAAGGGAGCGGCCCAAGGTCAGTCTACGGATGCTGCCGGAGAACTTGGAGCGGTGGCCAGATGATGGCGTCGACAACTACCTAACTGCTCTGATTCCTTCGGAACGACGCAGGCTTGATGTTGCCACCTCCTTGGCGGAGAAGGTGTGGGGCGCCAAAATTGCCAAGTACGTCCCAGATCTCGTGGTGGACCTGGGCGCCGACAAGAAGATCCAGAAGTCCAGTACACACGGGATGCTGCGCACCCTAATCCGCGGCGCTGGCTTGACGTGGAACGCCAAGAGGGAGCGCTGGCTCGTGGCCGCGGAGGGGTGGGTGGCAATGGGGTTCGCCGTGACCAACCGAGCTGTCCAGACGTACGGTGGGGCCTGCCAGTTCAGCCGTTGCCTGGACCCCGCTTCTATCAACGCAATGAGATCCAGGGCCAGTCAGATTAACCAGCAGGGCAACAGCATGCACATCAGCAGCATAGGTTCCGTGTTATTTTGCGCGATCCTCAGGGAACCCGAGATCACGCATCGGTCGAGTTTGGTACCTGGCTCGCCGAACCCAGCAATGCTCGCTATTGGCCTCGAGGCAAGGGCGTCCGTCGAAGATGACGACGCCGACGCTCGCCCAGCCGCCAAGCGCGCTCGCTTTTGAGTAGGAGTGCCGATCGCTACTAGGAAGAGCGAGGGGAACGGAGGATTGGAGAGAGGGGGGCGACCGAAGGATGGAAATGGAAGGACAACGCGACGGCGCGACCGGGGCCGCCTGGCGCGACGGCGCAGGCGGCGGGCTTGGCCCGCGCGGCAGCCACCGTCGGCGGCTGCGCAGCGGCTGAGAGACGGCCCCCCCACCCCGCCACACGAGCCAGGGGGCGTAGGCCGTGACGCGTGCAAGACGCGCCAGAGGGGGGCAGCGAACAAACCAGTTTCCTCTCTCCTCCTCCTCCTCCTCCTCCTCCTCCTCCTCCTCCTCCTCCTCCTCCCCCTCCCCCTCCTCCTCCCCCTCCCCTCCTCCTCCCTCCTCCTCCCTCCTCCTCCTCCTCCTCCTCCTCCCCTCTCCCTCCCTCCTCCTCCTCTCCTCCTCCTCCTCCTCCTCCTCCCCCTCCTCCCCTCCTCCTCCTCCTCCTCCTCCTCCTCCTCCTCCTCCTCCTCCTCCTCCTCCTCTCCTCCTCCCCTCTCCCCTCCCTCATCCTTCCCCCTCCCCTTCTTCTCTCCTCGTCTCCTCCCCCTGGGCCCCTCCTGTCTTCCAGGGGCTGTTGCGAGCTCTGTGCGCCCCCTGCGCGTATCGATTCAAGCCTGTGTGTAATTTTCTTCGCCCCTCCTCCTGCTCACTCCCACCCTCCCTCCCTTAGCGAGCCAACCTGCCCTCCCCGTCTGTGTTTTAGGTCCCTCTCTGTAGTATGTTGGCGTCTCTCTGTCAGCGATCGAGCTCGCCCTTCACCGAACCTCCCCTCGCGACGATTGCCCGAGTCACACGCCGATGCACCGACTCCGACACGTTTACCCTGGAGGTACCTTTGTCAATCCCAGCCCCTCCAAGATTATCGTGAGAAGCGCTCTGAGACCAGAAAGAACACCAACCTGGGCGACGAAGGCCCCCGGGAGGCCCACAAAGGAGCTTTTAATATAAATGTCCGCTTCGGCCTCCCCGCCCAATCCCACGATCCGACTTATCGTCGCCAGACTTTGTCTCGAGAGCTTGCGGCACCGACCAACCGCCCCAACTGCTGCCGCGGCCATGGCTGAATCTCTAGCCCTGGCTTTACACCCCAGGCCCCGCTCTCGTCGCAAGCTGGTGGGCAAGCAAGGCGGCGAGCAGCTCGCGCGCCAGGATGTTTGGTTTCGCTGGAATTCATCCCAGCTGAGCCACGAGGAGCCCCCCGAGACAACAGAGTCAGAACCGAGGTTCTGAGGCCGGGCCTCGAGCTTGACCGCCCCCCTCCGTCGGCAGAAGTTCGGGCCTGAGGGCCCCATGACGATCCAAGATGGCTCCGACATCGCTCCAAGAGGGCCCAACGAACCCAGGGGCGTCCCAAGAGAGGCCCCAGGGCAGCCCTGCTCGCGGCTTCAGAACCGAGGTTCTGACGCTGCGAGCTTGGAGCCCTTGGGGGGCATTCTTGGGGGCTCTCGGGCCCCATCTTGGATGGGGCGATATCGAGCCCTCTGGGGTTTCGTTTCGCTTGCGGCCTCCCGAGGACGAAGAGGAGGACGACGACTACGACTCAGCGCAGACCGTGCACTCCATGTGCCCCGACGTGGAGGGGAGAGAGCTGCGAGAGCTCATCGACAAGGACCTTCCTCCTCCCTTTCCTATCCTCCTCCTCCACCCTCCTCCTTCCTCCCCCCCCTCCCTCCTGCTACATCCTCCTCCTGCTTCGGCCCTTCGCTACTTCAACCCTCAACTCTCGTTGCTCCCGCGCTCCCTCATTCCTTCTCCCAGCCCGCCGCCTTCTCCTCCGTTCCTGCAGCTGCTCCTGCTCCTGCTGCCTCCTCCTCCCACTCCCCCGCCACCGACATCTTGGACATCCATCCCATCTTGAAGTTTTAGATGCCTTGGGTTTTGACGCTCGCGTTTTCGAGCTGCAAGGGCAGGGGCCCAAAGGGCTCCAGTCATTCCGATGGGCGGGCGGGCTGGATGATCTGGGAATGTTCTATGGGTTCGCAGGGCGCAATTCTGGAGGAGCTCGTGGATCCCGTGCCCTGGTTCAACGACAGGGGCGAGCGGGTGTTTCGCCGTCACTCGGTGAACAGGAAGACGATGATGAGCACGAGGAGGGAGTGCATGCATGGCATCCTCAAGGACGGCATCATCAAAGGCGCGCGCGCCGGGGCCGTTTTCGCCGTGCCGTCGACCGTGGACAGGAAGAGCTGGGTCCTCTGGCAGATCGGCGCGGCGACCCTCTTCGAAGCGTTATACGACGCGTTGGTCGTGGGGGGAAATTCAATGCCGTGTTTGAGTGGTGCCCTCCACTCTGGAGTTTGCTTGTTTAGAGCGTCCTGGGCCCGATCTTAACCTGAGCTCCAGAGGCTGAATCCGATGAAAGTTTGAGCGAGTGCGCCAACCTTCTCGAAAGGGAACCCTGGGGACCTATTCATTCCTAAGTTGTGCCTTTGTGTCCTTGCACGCGCCGCGCCCCCCTCCCAAAGGCTTGGGAGGGCTGGGAAGGAGGAGGAGGGGAGGAGGAGGAGGAGGAGCAGGAGGAGGACGCGGAGGAGGATGAGGAGAGTAGGAGGAGGAGGAGGAGGAGGAGGAGGAGGAAGAGGAGGAGGAGGAGGAGGAGGAGGAGGAGGAGGAAGCCCTTGCGTCCCTTCGCATCCATAGAAATGCGATGAGCCCCCCGGGCGATTGAATCGATGCTCCTATCAGGCAGCGCACCCGTCCAACAAGCAAGTCCAAATCACCCTGCAGTGCGGCGTGAAGCACGTCACCCTGGCGCGCCCCAGCGCAAAGGTCTGCATATTGAAGTACTACCGCGACGAGCTCAACAGGATGGTGGGCTACGGGGCCAAGACGACGTTCATCGAGTGCTTCGCGAAAGCTTCCGAGGCCGTCAAGGGTTGGCAACAGTTCCTGGCAGATGAGCGCAAGAAGAAGAAAGATATTGGCGCCCAGGAGCAGTTCGAAGAGGATACTGGGGACGGCGACATAGAGGAGGAAGAAGAGGGGGCGCCCCCCCAAAAGAAAGCTAGGCGCGGCAAGAAGGCGGAACCTGCGTCGACCCAACCGAGGACGCAGGCGGGGTTCAAGAACAAGCAGTGGGTCTGGGTGAGCGAGAACTTCCCCTCGGCGCGGGCGAATCCCAACGAGTTCGTGCGAGCCAAGATTGTGTGCGGCAAGCTCCAGGACGAACTTAAGATGTGGAAAGACTTCGAAGCATACTGCATGAACTACGCAAGGTTCACGGACAGCAGCATGTCCACGAACAAGGTTGTCATTTGCATGCAGGCCGTGTTGAAGTTCTTCCAGACTCAGGTCGACACTGCGAAGTACAGAGAGTTCCTCTTCGCGTGCCTGAAGCTGACGATTCCCACAGACGATGGGATCCCATGGTGCATCCTGGAGTCTTCGGATTGCAAGAAGCTGGACAGGCTCAAACAGAACATGTTCGACTCGAAGGTGTTCAAGCGTGCCCGGGAGGCCGCCGACAAGGAACTATTGGCGGCGCCAGCGGCGGTCAGGGCGGTTAGCAGCAAGAGCAGGGGCCCTAACAAGAAGACCAAGCTTCCACAGAGCAGGGTTTCGGACAGCAGCTGCACGAACGTGAACTTCATGGACGACGTGATCAATTCGCTCTATGCGACGGTGGAGAAAGTAAAGCAGTCGAGGATTGAGGCGGACACCATCAACGACTTGATAGCATTGTGCGCGGCTTTCGGCATCGACGGAACCTTGGCCACGTGCTACTTGGGCGACGGCGACGACGGGGAGGAGAAAGTCTTTGATGGCAAGTACTCTGATGTTCGTGACGCCGTCGCTGCATACTGCGCCAAGAAGCACGACGTGGAGGACTACTCGGGGATCGAGGAGATGCAGCCGCAGCCCAAGGTCCAGAACGCGGAGGAGGCAGAGGTCCCAGCAGCAGAGGGGCGGGAGCAGGAACAGGAGAAGGACGAATTGCTTGGCTTGGAAGCCGAGGCAGCGGACTCCGAGCTCAAAGCGCACTTAGAGGATCTCAAATCCATCGTCAAGAAGATGCCGAAACTCAGGAACACGTTGGCCGACTACATCGAGTCCAACCCCACGAATTTTCAGACGGAGGTGGAGATGCTCAGCTCTAGCGTTGCCATGGCCAAATGCAAGGCTCGTTTCTCTGGGATTCGTGGCGGAGGGGATCTTATCAATTGTATTACCAACGATTTCTCAAGTACAATCAGTGCCGCTGTCGAGGTCCTTACGGGGAAGGTGATTTTTCCCGCTACAGGAAGCGACGATCTCTTCAAGGCCATGGCTTGCGCTCGGTCGATCGCCAACATCTTTGTTGACCGACAAAGGTGATATGCAGAAGGTTTCCTTAGATGATTTATGGTCTCAAGCGTCTACTGCGACAGCTTCCATATTCTCAGGGCTTTGGGAACATATTTCCGACCTGGATCGATGCCTGGAGTCCCGGGGCATCTTCTTCCTCTACAGACAGCATGTTGGAGTACTGGGAGTCAGCGGTCACATCCGAGGACGGCAAGCAAGTCACCGCCCAGTTGAAGACTGCGCTTTGCTTCCTGAAATCGAACAGGTCACAAGTCAGTTTGAAAGACGTTTCGGACATTGGGGTGATTGACTTCGACGAATGTTGGGCCACGATGATCATCCGGGCTAGCAGTGTGACGTCTAGCAAGCCGCCAGCACTGAAGACGACTGAAGAGTGGGAGCAGAGGAAGAGGGCGCTGACGTCCAGGCTCAGCAGAGACACCGCTCCTAAATTGACTTTGCAAGTAATCGAGAAGCTGAAGATGACGCAGAAAGAAGCAAAGACACTGCGCAAGGAAGCCTCCGTGAAACTTCTGGTCGAGGCGGAGATCACTTCGGAGAAGGAGACCGAGGAGCAGTTCCACAAGAAGCGGGGCGATGACGTGCAGGGCTTCGTTCAAGATATGCTGCGCAACACGGAGACGGTCTATGGCGATGAGCACGGCGCAGACGACGGGGAGAAGGATGGCGATGGTGAAGACGCCATTGAGATCAGCGCCCAGGGAGAGAGCGCGGGCAGACCCATGAAGACCATTGAGGACTGCCAGTACGTCGGGGCCTTTCTCAACATCAACGATGCGTCTTGGAAAGCGGGCGCCTTGGGCCGCTTCCTCACGGACAATATCTTGAAGGCCTGGTACACAGGAAAGGACTTTGCGACCGATTATTCATCTTCGTTGTCGGACGACGGAGTCAATAACGTGTACATTCGCACTGGTAAGGAAGGCAAGATGATGTGGAAGCAGATGGTTTGGATTCCCCAGCTGCTGAAGATCAAGAAGGGGGAGGGGCCTGAGGAGGAGGTGGTGGAGGATCAGAAGGCGAATGAGGCGGAGGAGAAGAAGAATGACGGTGAGGACGCGGCTGGGGCGGCTGTGCCCACAGACGCCGCCGCCGCAGCCGCCGACGGCGCAGCTGGCGACAAGCCGACTGCTGCGGGGGGCGAGCAGCACGCGGCAGCTACGGCAGACAAGGAGGATGAGGAGAGCAAGCAAGCCGACGCCACCAAGTCCGAGGCCGAGGAGAAGCAGGAGAAGGCGTCCGGAGGGGAGTTGGCAGCATCGGGTACCGAGAAGGCGCCGCAGGCGAAGAAGCCGAGGATCGACTTCACCAAAGAGTTGGAGCTCGCCCTGGACTCTGGCATCGAGCCTGCGGCGCCTCAGAAGCCGAAGGAGTCGGAGATTATCACCGAGCTCATCGTCAAGGGTATTGTCATGACGTTCGTCGGTCAGGTTGTCCTGGAGCCTTGCGACGCCGAGGCGATGGTCCCCACGCCTACGCCTGGCGTGAAGTGCTTGTATCTCGGCCAGGTCACGCTTTCTGGCCAATCGTTCCTGATCAAGATGTTGCCGATCGCAGCCTGGTCCAACATCAAAGGTTCCGTCGTAGTTCCCTCTTGGACGATCGAGCTTGGGGGGGACAAGGACGACGCCGTCAAAATTATGTCCGTGGTCACGGAGCGGGTGTTTCCACGGGTGCCCGCAGGGGCCGCAGGGAACACAGAGGAGCTCAGCCTGAAGTTGGACATCCACAAGCTCGTCATTGCAGACAAGGCCATCGAGTCGGAGGACGCCTTCGACGATACGCCAGCGTCTCTCCGCAGGGAGCGGATGCCGTGGGATCGCCCTCTCAAGGGTTCGGCTGGGTCGGGGAATAAGGATGAGCAGGCTGCGAACCAGAGCAAGCGGGGCCGCATTGCTCACCACCTTTTGCGCTGATTGCGCGTTTGCATGCCCTGGCTGCCCGTGCCAGTGCCGCTCGCCTGCCCTAGTTCGATTTCTGTAGGCAGGGTGGCAGGCTGTTTCAAGCCATTTAGTTTGAGGGAGGGTTCAGAGTTCGAGGGATGTTGGAGCGTTCATCGAGAGTTGGAGGAAGGAGGAGGTGCTTCGATCAAGTAGCTCGCTCTAGCAAGCCGTTGACAGTTGTGTGTACATTGTGTAAGGAGAGCAGGCGCCAGACATAGAGTTTGCGTTGTGGGACGTATGTGGTAGTCGTCCTGCCCTCTCTAGTAGGGTTCTGGCCGTGACCTCTCCTTGCACCGAGTCGGCGACTCGGAACTTTTCAGCGCGCCTGCGTCTAAAGCACGGCATAGCAAAACACGCCAAGCATCAAAGCATTGCCATAGCAACATTCATCGCCACGGTCCCTCCACCTCCCCCCCTCCGCCTTCTCCTCCCTCTGCCGCCTGGCCCCCCTAGGAAGTGAGGAGGATGGGATGCTGGGCTGGGGGCAACAAAATCAGTGAGAGAGACCCTGGGACCTTCCGCCTCCGAGCGCGGTAGCACATCCAAAGGTCCTGCCCGGGACTGCTTCCTTGATCAGGGGGAGAATGCAATTTTGTTTGCCTCCACCTCTGCTGCGTCGTCGCGTGTTGGTCGTCGTCGTCGTCGTCGAATCGTCCATCAACGCCGAGGCGCATCTGATCTTTGTGCACCTCGGGGCAGACAGACGGGGCCTCTCGACTCTGACGGCGGCGACGGCGGCGAACGAGAAGAAAGACGAGGAGGCGGAGGACGGAGGAAGACGGAGGAGGACGAGATGGAGGAGAAGGCGAAGGATTCGGAGAACGGAGAAGAGAAGGATGAGGAAAAGCGAAGAGGAGGGCAGGAAGATGAAGGAACGATGAGGGCAGAAAGGTAGAATTTTCAAGGATTTGGCAACGCAATGCTGTCGCTTGCATTCCTCCGAAGGCGTGTCCGCGCTCCCTGGAAAGGAGAGGTCTTGGCGTGTGGTAATAGCTTTCAATTCGATTCTAGTAGTCAACATACGAAACGACGAAAAACGACACAGGCCGCCACAGACCAAGGTGACCCCCATCCCCGAGGTCCTAATAACATCCCCAATCATTGCCAGCATCTACCCATCATCCCACCACCATCAGCATCATCGTCATCAGCGCCATCATCAGCAGCACCATCATCATCACCATGCCCCATCATCCCCGTCATCACCATCATCACCACCGCCGAAGTCATCATCATCATCATCATCATCGTCATCCTCATCATCCGCATTATCATCGGCTGTGGTGTTGGGTCCGTTTCCCCTTCTCCCCTCGTCACCATCGTCGCCATCAGCATTAACATCATCATCATCATCATCATCGCCTTCGTCATCATCATCGACGCCGTCATCCACATTATCATCATCATCATCGCCATCATCACCTTCATCATCATCATCATCATCATCATCATCATCATCACAATCATGACCACAACCATCGTCATCACCATGATCCTCCCCACCATCATTGTTCTAATGAGTTGCCGCCGTCATCCTGTGCATCGCCATCGTTGCCACCATCATCAACTCGAACCATTACCTTGGACCGTCGCCATCGTCGTCGCCACCACCAGTACCAGAGGCAGTAGCAGGTCGGGTTTGCCAGATGTGCTCCTGGCCCAAGGCGCCCCCAGGATTCTCGGGGGGGGGGGGGGGCAGCTTTTCTCCGGAGCACCCGTGCACGAGGCCTCGAGGGCCCCAGGGGCTCCATGCAGGAGCGCAAAGCTTGGGGCACTTCGGGCCAAGCGCACTCAACAACACCCTGGCAGGAGGAGGAGGAGGAGGAGGAGGAGGAGGGGCAGGAGGAGGAGGAGGAGGAGGATGCGGAAAAGGAGAAGGAGGAGGAGGAGGAGGAGGAGGAGGAATCAGGAGGGCCAGCAGCGGACTGCCGTCGGGCCTGGAGCGGCGTCTGGTTGCCGTCGGGCCGGCTAGGGCGGCGTCGGGCTGGGCCGTCGGGCTGGGAGAAGCGTCGGGCCTGAAGCGGCGGGTCACCGTTTAAGAAGTCTAGCTCTTGGCCTTTTTCTTGCGGTCCTTGCCGCCCTTGCCGTTGTCGCCCTTGTCCTTGGCCTTGCCGCCCTTGCCGTTGTCGCCCTTGTCGTTGGCCTTGCGTTTGCCCATCTCGTTGGCCTTTTTCTTGCCGCCCTTGCCGTTGTCGATCTTGTCCTGGGCCATTTTTTTGCCGCCCTTGCCGTTGGCCTTTTTCTTGCCGCCCTGGCCGTCGCCGTCGCCCTTCTTGTTGTTCTTGCCGGCGGCGTCGGTCTTGAGCTTGCCCTTGCCTTTGCCTTTGCCGTTGTTCTTGTCGTCGCCCTTGCCGTTGTTCTGGCCGTCGCCCTTGTCGCCCTTGCCCTCGCCCTCGCCGCCGTCGTCAGCGATGGGCGGCCTCCAGCGCCGCGTCTCCTCGACGCTACCCTCGCTCCACGACAGCGCGATGAGTCGACCGCTCCAGCCGTCCCACTGTTGACACGTTCGCCATCGCTTCAGTTCAGTGAACGTTTTGACGGCCGTCCCGGGGGGCGCAGCCATCGGACCAGATCCGATCTGAATCCAGCGCGAACACTGGTCTGAGACAAGATGTCTACGGATTGTGTGACGTTGCAGTCAGCCCGCGTCGTAAGGATGCGCGGTAAGGACGCGAGGCCCCTGGAGGCCCATGGCGTTTTTCGAGCGAGGCTGGCAGGCGAAGTCGCAAAGGATGGGCCGACGGGACAATATGCAAGGGTAGCCTTTGGAAGGTTGCCCATCCTCACGATGCGGGGTGACTGAAGCAACTGTTGTTTTGCATGGGCGAGGGCCTTTTGGGAGATGGCCCCACGGGGCCATCTTGGGCGTCTTGGAGCGAGAGCGCGAGAGAGGAACGCTGGGAGCGACAGAAGAGAGAGAGAGAGAGAGAGAGAGAGAGAGAGAGAGAGAGAGAGAGAGAGAGAGAGAGAGAGAGAGAGAGAGAGAGAGAGAGAGAGAGAGAGTGCAACAGAAAGAGGGAGTGAGAGAGACAGAGAGAGAGGGAGCAACAGAAAGCGAGAGAGAGCCTGCCCCAGGACCCATGACCCAGTCGCCAGCCCTGCGGAGGGCAAGGGGGGTGGCGGAGGGAGAGGGGGGGGAGGGAAACCGATGGGGGGGAGGGCGGAGGAGGAGGAAAGGCAACGCAGCCGCATCCCAACAATCATCAGGTTTGCTGCACCATGTCTTGGCAACGAGCGCCGTGCCAAATGCACGCACGCAGTGATTGAAATCTCAGCAACTGGTCATGCAGGCACCGACGAAACGGGGGCCAATCCAGGTCGCGCCAGGCGAAAACAACCGCCAAAACTTTTCAGAACAATGCATATGGGCTCAGCGAAACACAGGTTTTGATGCTGCCTTGGTAGACATGGACTGGCATTGCTGCGCGGCTTGCCCGCGCAGCCACTTGGTGCAATAAAGAAACATCGCATCGAGCTGCTCGGAGTTTGCAAGAATTGACATCCCCGCTCTGACTCAACAGCGTAATTGCTAGAGATGACAAGGCCGACGTGAATCCAGCAGGGTACTCAGAGGAAGACTTCATATGCTTCTTGTTCGAATTCACCCACTCACCTTTGCGCCAACCCTCGGAACCCGACTTGCTCAACTTTGGGCCGTTCACCGTCGAGCTCGATTCGCGGTCGGGGGGGCCGATGGCGGCCCTGGCATCTTGCTTCGACTTGACCAGTTTGGCAGAACACTTGGGAAGCAAATTTGTATAGAACTCATCTGGCTTCATTGTGGATCCGCCCCAGCCACCCATCCACGTCGCAAATCTGGGCAGCTCGCACATGTACACGCTATTTTTGATGCAAGGCATGTGATACAGCGTCGAGTTCAGCGGCTGCTCGCACGTGATGTGCAAGTGCAGCGTGGAAGCAAGGAATATCAGGTACGACCTTTGCGTGGTAGCGCAAAAGCTTGCCGAGTGAGTGCCATCGCAACGTCATCGCGATGACACCGCGATGACATCGCGATGGCACATGACGCCCAAAAGGAGGGGCAGGAGGTGGATTTCGGGGGATGGGGGGGCGTCGAGAGTGGAGGGGGGGGGGGGGGGGGGCAGAGCGAGTCTGATTGGCCAGGGTGGAAGGCGAGATTGAAAGAGGAGGCTGACGAGGAGGGAAGAGAAGGATGATGAGTGTCGGAAGAGGGACTGATGGGATGGGCCGAGAAGGGGCGAAAGAGGAGAGAGAGGGAGAGAGAGAGAGAGAGAGAGAGAGAGAGAGAGAGAGAGAGAGAGAGAGAGAGAGAGAGAGAGAGAGAGAGAGGCGGAGGGTGGAGGGCGAAAGGAGAGGCCAGACGTGAGAGGGTGGATGGAAGAGGATGAGGGAGGGGGTCTATTGCACGAGGGCGGTCCTGGCTCGTGCGCCGTATCGTCACCAGACTTTGTCTCGAGAGCTTGCGGCACCGACCAACCGCCCCAACTGCTGCCGCGGCCATGGCTGAATCTCTAGCCCTGGCTTTACACCCCAGGCCCCGCTCTCGTCGCAAGCTGGTGGGCAAGCAAGGCGGCGAGCAGCTCGCGCGCCAGGATGTTTGGTTTCGTTGGAATTCATCCCAGCTGAGCCACGAGGAGCCCCCCGAGACAACAGAGTCAGAACCGAGGTTCTGAGGCCGGGCCTCGAGCTTGACCGCCCCCCTCCGTCGGCAGAAGTTCGGGCCTGAGGGCCCCATGACGATCCAAGATGGCTCCGACATCGCTCCAAGAGGGCCCAACGAACCCAGGGGCGTCCCAAGAGAGGCCCCAGGGCAGCCCTGCTCGCGGCTTCAGAACCGAGGTTCTGACGCTGCGAGCTTGGAGCCCTTGGGGGGCATTCTTGGGGGCTCTCGGGCCCCATCTTGGATGGGGCGATATCGAGCCCTCTGGGGTTTCGTTTCGCTTGCGGCCTCCCGAGGACGAAGAGGAGGACGACGACTACGACTCAGTGCAGACCGCGCACTCCATGTGCCCCGACGTGGAGGGGAGAGAGCTGCGAGAGCTCATCGACAAGGACCTTCCTCCTCCCTTTCCTATCCTCCCCCTCCACCCTCCTCCTTCCTCCTCCTCCTCCCTCCTGCTACATCCTCCTCCTGCTTCGGCCCTTCGCTACTTCAACCCTCAACTCTCGTTGCTCCCGCGCTCCCTCATTCCTTCTCCCAACCCGCCGCCTTCTCCTCCGTTCCTGCAGCTGCTCCTGCTCCTGCTGCCTCCTCCTCCCACTCCCCCGCCACCGACATCTTGGACATCCATCCCATCTTGAAGTTTTAGATGCCTTGGGTTTTGACGCTCGCGTTTTCGAGCTGCAAGGGCAGGGGCCCAAAGGGCTCCAGTCATTCCGATGGGCGGGCGGGCTGGATGATCTGGGAATGTTCTATGGGTTCGCAGGGCGCAATTCTGGAGGAGCTCGTGGATCCCGTGCCCTGGTTCAACGACAGGGGCGAGCGGGTGTTTCGCCGTCACTCGGTGAACAGGAAGACGATGATGAGCACGAGGAGGGAGTGCATGCATGGCATCCTCAAGGACGGCATCATCAAAGGCGCACGCGCCGGGGCCGTTTTCGCCGTGCCGTCGACCGTGGACAGGAAGAGCTGGGTCCTCTGGCAGATCGGCGCGGCGACCCTCTTCGAAGCGTTATACGACGCGTTGGTCGTGGGGGGAAATTCAATGCCGTGTTTGAGTGGTGCCCTCCACTCTGGAGTTTGCTTGTTTAGAGCGTCCTGGGCCCGATCTTAACCTGAGCTCCAGAGGCTGAATCCGATGAAAGTTTGAGCGAGTGCGCCAACCTTCTCGAAAGGGAACCCTGGGGACCTATTCATTCCTAAGTTGTGCCTTTGTGTCCTTGCACGCGCCGCGCCCCCCTCCCAAAGGCTTGGGGGGGGCTGGGAAGGAGGAGGAGGGGAGGAGGAGGAGGAGGAGGAGCAGGAGGAGGATGCGGAGGAGGATGAGGAGAGTAGGAGGAGGAGGAGGAGGAGGAAGAGGAGGAGGAGGAGGAGGAGGAGGAGGAGGAGGAGGAAGCCCTTGCGTCCCTTCGCATCCATAGAAATGCGATGAGCCCCCCGGGCGATTGAATCGATGCTCCTATCAGGCAGCGCACCCGTCCAACAAGCAAGTCCAAATCACCCTGCAGTGCGGCGTGAAGCACGTCACCCTGGTGCGCCCCAACGCAAAGGTCTGCATATTGAAGTACTACCGCGACGAGCTCAACAGGATGGTGGGCTACGGGGCCAAGACGACGTTCATCGAGTGCTTCGCGAAAGCTTCCGAGGCCGTCAAGGGTTGGCAACAGTTCCTGGCAGATGAGCGCAAGAAGAAGAAAGATATTGGCGCCCAGGAGCAGTTCGAAGAGGATACTGGGGACGGCGACATAGAGGAGGAAGAAGAGGAGGCGCCCCCCCAAAAGAAAGCTAGGCGCGGCAAGAAGGCGGAACCTGCGTCGACCCAACCGAGGACGCAGGCGGGGTTCAAGAACAAGCAGTGGGTCTGGGTGAGCGAGAACTTCCCCTCGGCGCGGGCGAATCCCAACGAGCTCGTGCGAGCCAAGATTGTGTGCGGCAAGCTCCAGGACGAACTTAAGATGTGGAAAGACTTCGAAGCATACTGCATGAACTACGCAAGGTTCACGGACAGCAGCATGTCCACGAACAAGGTTGTCATTTGCATGCAGGCCGTGTTGAAGTTCTTCCAGACTCAGGTCGACACTGCGAAGTACAGAGAGTTCCTCTTCGCGTGCCTGAAGCTGACGATTCCCACAGACGATGGGATCCCATGGTGTATCCTGGAGTCTTCGGATTGCAAGAAGCTGGACAGGCTCAAACAGAACATGTTCGACTCGAAGGTGTTCAAGCGTGCCCGGGAGGCCGCCGACAAGGAACTATTGGCGGCGCCAGCGGCGGTCAGGGCGGTTAGCAGCAAGAGCAGGGGCCCTAACAAGAAGACCAAGCTTCCACAGAGCAGGGTTTCGGACAGCAGCTGCACGAACGTGAACTTCATGGACGATGTGATCAATTCGCTCTATGCGACGGTGGAGAAAGTAAAGCAGTCGAGGATTGAGGCGGACACCATCAACGACTTGATAGCATTGTGCGCGGCTTTCGGCATCGACGGAACCTTGGCCACGTGCTACTTGGGCGACGGCGACGACGGGGAGGAGAAAGTCTTTGATGGCAAGTACTCTGATGTTCGTGACGCCGTCGCTGCATACTGCGCCAAGAAGCACGACGTGGAGGACTACTCGGGGATCGAGGAGATGCAGCCGCAGCCCAAGGTCCAGAACGCGGAGGAGGCAGAGGTCCCAGCAGCAGAGGGGCGGGAGCAGGAACAGGAGAAGGACGAATTGCTTGGCTTGGAAGCCGAGGCAGCGGACTCCGAGCTCAAAGCGCACTTAGAGGATCTCAAATCCATCGTCAAGAAGATGCCGAAACTCAGGAACACGTTGGCCGACTACATCGAGTCCAACCCCACGAATTTTCAGACGGAGGTGGAGATGCTCAGCTCTAGCGTTGCCATGGCCAAATGCAAGGCTCGTTTCTGGGATTCGTGGCGGAGGGGATCTTATCAATTGTATTACCAACGATTTCTCAAGTACAATCAGTGCCGCTGTCAAGGTCCTTACGGGGAAGGTGATTTTTCCCGCTACAGGAAGCGACGATCTCTTCAAGGCCATGGCTTGCGCTCGGTCGATCGCCAACATCTTTGTTGACCGACAAAGGTGATATGCAGAAGGTTCCCTTAGATGATTTATGGTCTCAAGCGTCTACTGCGACAGCTTCCATATTCTCAGGGCTTTGGGAACATATTTCCGACCTGGATCGATGCCTGGAGTCCCGGGGCATCTTCTTCCTCTACATTCTAGACAGCATGTTGGAGTACTGGGAGTCAGCGGTCACATCCGAGGACGGCAAGCAAGTCACCGCCCAGTTGAAGACTGCGCTTTGCTTCCTGAAATCGAACAGGTCACAAGTCAGTTTGAAAGACGTTTCGGACATTGGGGTGATTGACTTCGACGAATGTTGGGCCACGATGATCATCCGGGCTAGCAGTGTGACGTCTAGCAAGCCGCCAGCACTGAAGACGACTGAAGAGTGGGAGCAGAGGAAGAGGGCGCTGACGTCCAGGCTCAGCAGAGACACCGCTCCTAAATTGACTTTGCAAGTAATCGAGAAGCTGAAGATGACGCAGAAAGAAGCAAAGACACTGCGCAAGGAAGCCTCCGTGAAACTTCTGGTCGAGGCGGAGATCACTTCGGAGAAGGAGACCGAGGAGCAGTTCCACAAGAAGCGGGGCGATGACGTGCAGGGCTTCGTTCAAGATATGCTGCGCAACACGGAGACGGTCTATGGCGATGAGCACGGCGCAGACGACGGGGAGAAGGATGGCGATGGTGAAGACGCCATTGAGATCAGCGCCCAGGGAGAGAGCGCGGGCAGACCCATGAAGACCATTGAGGACTGCCAGTACGTCGGGGCCTTTCTCAACATCAACGATGCGTCTTGGAAAGCGGGCGCCTTGGGCCGCTTCCTCACGGACAATATCTTGAAGGCCTGGTACACAGGAAAGGACCTTGCGACCGATTATTCATCTTCGTTGTCGGACGACGGAGTCAATAACGTGTACATTCGCACTGGTAAGGAAGGCAAGATGATGTGGAAGCAGATGGTTTGGATTCCCCAGCTGCTGAAGATCAAGAAGGGGGAGGGGCCTGAGGAGGAGGTGGTGGAGGATCAGAAGGCGAATGAGGCGGAGGAGAAGAATAATGACGGTGAGGACGCGGCTGGGGCGGCTGTGCCCACAGACGCCGCCGCCGCAGCCGCCGACGGCGCAGCTGACGACAAGCCGACTGCTGCGGGGGGCGAGCAGCACGCGGCAGCTACGGCAGACAAGGGGGATGAGGAGAGCAAGCAAGCCGACGCCACCAAGTCCGAGGCCGAGGAGAAGCAGGAGAAGGCGTCCGGAGGGGAGCTGGCAGCATCGGGTACCGAGAAGGCGCCGCAGGCGAAGAAGCCGAGGATCGACTTCACCAAAGAGTTGGAGCTCGCCCTGGACTCTGGCATCGAGCCTGCGGCGCCTCAGAAGCCGAAGGAGTCGGAGATTATCACCGAGCTCATCGTCAAGGGTATTGTCATGACGTTCGTCGGTCAGGTTGTCCTGGAGCCTTGCGACGCCGAGGCGATGGTCCCCACGCCTACGCCTGGCGTGAAGTGCTTGTATCTCGGCCAGGTCACGCTTTCTGGCCAATCGTTCCTGATCAAGATGTTGCCGATCGCAGCCTGGTCCAACATCAAAGGTTCCGTCGTAGTTCCCTCTTGGACGATCGAGCTTGGGGAGGACAAGGACGACGCCGTCAAAATTATGTCCGTGGTCACGGAGCGGGTGTTTCCACGGGTGCCCGCAGGGGCCGCAGGGAACACAGAGGAGCTCAGCCTGAAGTTGGACATCCACAAGCTCGTCATTGCAGACAAGGCCATCGAGTCGGAGGACGCCTTCGACGATACGCCAGTGTCTCTCCGCAGGGAGCGGATGCCGTGGGATCGCCCTCTCAAGGGTTCGGCTGGGTCGGGGAATAAGGATGAGCAGGCTGCGAACCAGAGCAAGCGGGACCGCATTGCTCACCACCTTTTGCGCTGATTGCGCGTTTGCATGCCCTGGCTGCCCGTGCCAGTGCCGCTCGCCTGCCCTAGTTCGATTTCTGTAGGCAGGGTGGCAGGCTGTTTCAAGCCATTTAGTTTGAGGGAGGGTTCAGAGTTCGAGGGATGTTGGAGCGTTCATCGAGAGTTGGAGGAAGGAGGAGGTGCTTCGATCAAGTAGCTCGCTCTAGCAAGCCGTTGACAGTTGTGTGTACATTGTGTAAGGAGAGCAGGCGCCAGACATAGAGTTTGCGTTGTGGGACGTATGTGGTAGTCGTCCTGCCCTCTCTAGTAGGGTTCTGGCCGTGACCTCTCCTTGCGCCGAGTCGGCGACTCGGAACTTTTCAGCGCGCCTGCGTCTAAAGCACGGCATAGCAAAACACGCCAAGCATCAAAGCATTGCCATAGCAACATTCATCGCCACGGTCCCTCCACCTCCCCCCCTCCGCCTTCTCCTCCCTCTGCCGCCTGGCCCCCCTAGGAAGTGAGGAGGATGGGATGCTGGGCTGGGGGCAACAAAATCAGTGAGAGAGACCCTGGGACCTTCCGCCTCCGAGCGCGGTAGCACATCCAAAGGTCCTGCCCGGGACTGCTTCCTTGATCAGGGGGAGAATGCAATTTTGTTTGCCTCCACCTCTGCTGCGTCGTCGCGTGTTGGTCGTCGTCGTCGTCGTCGAATCGTCTATCAACGCCGAGGCGCATCTGATCTTTGTACACCTCGGGGCAGACAGACGGGGCCTCTCGACTCTGACGGCGGCGACGGCGGCGAACGAGAAGAAGGACGAGGAGGCGGAGGACGGAGGAAGACGGAGGAGGACGAGAAGGAGGAGAAGGCGAAGGATTCGGAGAACGGAGAAGAGAAGGATGAGGAAAAGCGAAGAGGAGGGCAGGAAGATGAAGGAACGATGAGGGCAGAAAGGTAGAATTTTCAAGGATTTGGCAACGCAATGCTGTCGCTTGCGTTCCTCCGAAGGCGTGTCCGCGCTCCCTGGAAAGGAGAGGTCTTGGCGTGTGGTAATAGCTTTCCATTCGATTCTAGTAGTCAACATACGAAACGACGAAAAACGACACAGGCCGCCACAGACCAAGGTGACCCCCATCCCCGAGGTCCTAATAACATCCCCAATCATTGCCAGCATCTACCCATCATCCCACCACCATCAGCATCATCGTCATCAGCGCCATCATCAGCAGCACCATCATCATCACCATGCCCCATCATCCCCGTCATCACCATCATCACCACCGCCGAAGTCATCATCATCATCATCATCATCATCATCGTCATCCTCATCATCCGCATTATCATCGGCTGTGGTGTTGGGTCCGTTTCCCCTTCTCCCCTCGTCACCATCGTCGCCATCAGCATTAACATCATCATCATCATCATCATCATCGCCTTCGTCATCATCATCGACACCGTCATCCACATTATCATCATCATCATCGCCATCATCACCTTCATCATCATCATCATCACCATCATCATCATCATCACAATCATGACCACAACCATCGTCATCACCATGATCCTCCTCGCCATCATTGTTCTAATGAGTTGCCGCCGTCATCCTGTGCATCGCCATCGTTGCCACCATCATCAACTCGAACCATTACCTTGGACCGTCGCCATCGTCGTCGCCACCACCAGTACCAGAGGCAGTAGCAGGTCGGGTTTGCCAGATGTGCTCCTGGCCCAAGGCGCCCCCAGGATTCTCGGGGGGGGGGGGGGGCAGCTTTTCTCCGGAGCACCCGTGCACGAGGCCTCGAGGGCCCCAGGGGCTCCATGCAGGAGCGCAAAGCTTGGGGCACTTCGGGCCAAGCGCACTCAACAACACCCTGGCAGGAGGAGGAGGAGGAGGAGGGGCAGGAGGAGGAGGAGGAGGAGGATGCGGACAAGGAGGAGGAGGAGGAGGAGGAGGAGGAGGAGGAATCAGGAGGGCCAGCAGCGGACTGCCGTCGGGCCTGGAGCGGCGTCTGGTTGCCGTCGGGCTGGCTAGGGCGGCGTCGGGCTGGGCCGTCGGGCTGGGAGAAGCGTCGGGCCTGAAGCGGCGGGTCACCGTCTAAGAAGTCTAGCTCTTGGCCTTTTTCTTGCGGTCCTTGCCGCCCTTGCCGTTGTCGCCCTTGTCCTTGGCCTTGCCGCCCTTGCCGTTGTCGCCCTTGTCGTTGGCCTTGCGTTTGCCCATGTCGTTGGCCTTTTTCTTGCCGCCCTTGCCGTTGTCGATCTTGTCCTGGGCCATTTTTTTGCCGCCCTTGCCGTTGGCCTTTTTCTTGCCGCCCTGGCCGTCGCCGTCGCCCTCCTTGTTGTTCTTGCCGGCGGCGTCGGTCTTGAGGTTGCCCTTGCCTTTGCCTTTGCCGTTGTTCTTGTCGTCGCCCTTGCCGTCGCCCTTGCCGTTGTTCTGGCCGTCGCCCTTGTCGCCCTTGCCCTCGCCCTCGCCGCCGTCGTCAGCGATGGGCGGCCTCCAGCGCCACGTCTCCTCGACGCTACCCTCGCTCCACGACAGCGCGACGAGTCGGCCGCTCCAGCCGTCCCACTGTTGACACGTTCGCCATCGCTTCAGTTCAGTGAACGTTTTGACGGCCGTCCCGGAGGGCGCAGCCATCGGACCAGATCCGATCTGAATCCAGCGCGAACACTGGTCTGAGACAAGATGTCTACGGATTGTTTGACGTTGCAGTCAGCCCGCATCGTAAGGATGCGCGGTAAGGATGCAAGGCCCCTGGAGGCCCATGGCGTTTTTCGAGCGAGGCTGGCAGGCGAAGTCGCAAAGGATGGGCCGACGGGACAATATGCAAGGGTAGCCTTTGGAAGGTTGCCCATCCCCACGATGCGGGGTGACTGGAGCAACTGTTGTTTTGCATGGGCGATGGCCTTTTGGGAGATGGCCCCACGGGGCCATCTTGGGCGTCTTGGAGCGAGAGTGCGAGAGAGGAACGCTGGGAGCGACAGAAAGAGAGAGAGAGAGAGAGAGAGAGAGAGAGAGAGAGAGAGAGAGAGAGAGAGAGAGAGAGAGAGAGAGAGAGAGAGAGAGCGCAACAGAAAGAGGGCAGTGAGAGAGCCAGAGAGACGAGGAGAGGGAGCAACAGAAAGCGAAGAGAGACACTGCCCCAGGCCCAGGACCCAAGTCGCCCAGCCCTGCGGCTCGAGCCAAGCGGGGTGTGCGGCGGAGAGGGGGGGGGAGGGAACCGATTGGGGGGGGGGGCGGAGGAGGAGGAAAGGCAACGAAGCCGCATCCCAACAATCATCAGGTTTGCTGCGCCATGTCTTGGCAACGAGCGCCGTGCCAAATGCGCGCACGCAGTGATTGAAATCTCAGCAACTGGTCATGCAGGCACCGACGAAACGGGGGCCAATCCAGGTCGCGCCAGGCGAAAACAACCGCCAAAACTTTTCAGAACAATGCATATGGGCTCAGCGAAACACAGGTTTTGATGCTGCCTTGGTAGACATGGA